AAAGGAGATGGATAAGGGTTATAGTTGGTATAAAAAATAATAACAAGAAAGTCAAAAAAATAAAATGAAAGAAAATAAAATAACTCGTGAACAAAAAATATTTAAATTCTGTTGAAAACGTAACGTAAACTCAAAAAAATCAACATAACCAACAACCACTCACCTAACGCGAAAAGCTCAACAATGACTAAATCGGTCAACGCTCTACGCCGTTCCTGTAACAAACCACCTTACTCCTTCGTAGTCGGCTGGCCGAGCCCGCCGTGCAGCCGTAGGTATAATCAGGAGTGTATAATCTCTGGTATAATGTTTCCCGCGATGGATGCATAAATATTATTTATTTTATAACCGCTACATGCGTCTTTGAAAATAAATGATCTGGAAGTTATACATTTATTACATTTTCGTCACCAGAGCTTTTTTACGATGTTTCAATACCTACTCAGCTCTTGGACTGCTGACATTTTTCTTGCCATATTACCTACATGGGCAGAGGCACAGTATAGGTTACATTACAATATTCAAATTGAATTATAACTCATTGACGCTCAGAGGCACTGAAGGAAAATTCTGATACCAATATTAGATGGATATGTTCAATTATGAATCACTGAAAAATTGCAAATTCAAAAATCACCAGTCATTTTTACTGCAACTACTGCAAGCGTGAACAAAAACATCGAATTTTTTTTTTTTTTTTAGTTTGTACATTTCAAATTTCAACATCAACTCACAAATAAGTAAGTATAGGAATAAAAATTATAAATACCTACAATGTAAATGAAAATAGAATGTCAATCATGCCAATCCGTATATTAAAAATTAGGTCGGAATGGTCGGATACGGTGCACAGCGAGCGCACTGCAAACTACTGATAACGTACAACGTACGTACGGACGGCCAGCAGAGCTTGGCCGCACCCAAGGTATGACGCGTATCGTTCGCTTATACGCGAGAATTCAAACTTGAAGCGGGGAATCTGTAGGCGATGCGTCGAGATTGGTCGAGACAAGAAACCACCGATCGGCCGGCCGTCTGCATCAGTGTAATGAGCTACACGAGCGTTTCAAATTGAAGCGGCGTTTTGACGATGGGATTACCAGATGTCGTAGGTCCTGAATTAGTTCGTGATTTTCGGAGTATATGCGGATGGCATACTCAAAGGTTCCAGTGAATGAAATTGAAATAATAGTGGCATAACAGTAGGATAATGAACGATGAATTATGAAAACGGTTTCGGAAAATAATTGTATTCATCAAATAGTTCAGTAATTTTCCCCAAATTATTTGGTTCGGCCCGGCCGACCCTGCCGTCCCTGACGAGCCGTCACTGATGGATGTTTCATCTTATATTGCTGTGAGTGAATTGTCGATAGAAGAGAATCCAAATCGTTCTAAGTTAGATCTAAAGAATTTTTATACAGACGAGCAGATTTGGCAGATCATTGGTTATTCTGAAGCATTTGATGATGACTTCACGAATACATTATTTGAGTTGGTCAAGAGCTATCGTCACGATTTTTCGAATAAACCTGGTAAAACAAAATGTCTACAGCCATCAAATAATTCTACATGATTATACACCTTTTTTCCCTCAAGTCGTATCCCATAGCTAGAATACATAGAGAGGAGGTTAAAAGGCAAATAAGAGAAATGATCGACTGGAAGGTAATTGAACAAGGAAGCACAGATTATGTGAGTTGTTGTGCATGGTGAGAATAAAAAGTTCAATTTGTATATGTGTCGATGCCAGATGCCTCAACAACCGAATGGTGAAAGACCATGTGACCCCTATTAATCCAGGTGAACTTCTTCATGAGTTCACTGAGAACCAAGTTTTGAGTGTTATGGATTTGACTGCAAGCTATTTATTTACAGTTTTACCTTCTGGTTTTGCTATGTCTGTTGGCAGCTTCATAGTAGGTTTGTCCAAAATATTGGGACCAGAGATGGAAAATTTCGTGAACCTTATGTAGATGACCTGGTCATCCATTCGGAAAATGCTGAGATTCATTTGAAGCAGTTAGCAACAACTTTTTCAAAGTGCAATGCAGCGAACATAACTGTTAAATTGAAGAAATCTCGGTTTGCATGTAGGAATATTCATTTTTTGGGGCATATGATAACCCCAGAGGGCATTAAAATGGATCCATTCCGGATAGAAACTATCAAGCGGTTTCCAACGCCTAAGAATGTGGAGTAACTTCTGTCTATTTTCCCCAAGGGAATATGACTGAGCGAGTTCACCGTGTGAGATAGGTAGAATGATCAAAACCTTCTGATTTGCGAGGTACACAAAATGGTGGTATTGAAAAATACCTAAATGGGATACTTCACGAAAGCACAGGATTCTCTCCTAACGAAATTCACTATGAGCGTCTACGATTAATCCCATTTTACGATATTATTGAAAACCCGATGGGTGAGCATGACAAGGACAGAGAGGGGAAACTTTTATTCACCTAGTTGAATTTGATATTAGGAGCAAATAACCGCCGTGATAAAGGTAATCAGGAGAGGAACCCTGTAATTTTTGAAGTTGGTCAGGAAGTCTTATAGTGAGATCAAATAAATTGTCTTCGGTTGAAAATAAATAGATCAAGAAGTTAGTTGTACCTCATGAAGGTCCGCATTCGAATAAAGCACAAAGGGGTTCAAATTCCTACGAAGTTGAAGGCTCAATGGGAAATTCACAATGCAGTGATTCTCAAAAAGTATGAGTATCCAGTTGAATATCTGTAAATTCTTCATGCTGTGAATGTCTTCGGTAGTGAGTTATTTGTCAGATGTTGTATTGTTTTGAAAATCGTGTGAATTATGTATAAAGACTCCAGAAATTTGAAAAGAACACCAATTCATACCTTATTTCCCACGATGTTCTCTGAACATTACAGGATATCCCTTTCCGTGGGAACCAGAATATTAAAAAAAAAAGAAGAAAAAAAAGTTACCCATTGATTGTTCATCAACTGTTTAACTCAATAGGGGGGGTATATGTAGTGAGCGGACCCTGTATTCAATGATTTTGGTTGATTTGGACTTTTATCACGATTAGGGGAGGTGACAAAAAACACGAGATCTTTCGAGTTGACGGAAGAAGTTGTCTGAAGTTATAATTATATCGCTGAATTGGGTATGTTCTGCCAATTCCGATAGTAATCATCGTCTGCAGAGGTATTTGAATGTTCCTGAGTATAGAATTCCGCAAGTGAATGGAGTATCGCTGTTTGATGTGGCGATTATACCTACTACCTAGGGTCCCTTGATGAAAATTGACGTTAAAGTCATCTTAACAGGGTACGGACAGATCATAGCTGCATTCTTTTTTAATGATGTAGAGACTTTAGTTTTGTCTACTGGCATCCCTGACATTGCTGTCACGTCACATCCATGGGCGCTACAAATTTCCATAATAGGTATGTACAGGGTGTTTACTTGTTGAAGATCATATGGCGAACGAGTTTTGTAATTATGATCCGATTCTATTCAAAATTGGTATCTGGGGGTTTCCGGGGTAGGAGATAATGATCGTTTCGTCAAAATTGGGAAATTCAAGATGGCGGATTCGATATGGCGAAAGACATTAGTTTATATGATCATTACTCTACCACTATAAGTTATACTGCGTATACCTACATCTTTGTTACTTTTATCAATCAATTGTTTGAAAATGACTTTTAATTTGAGGGGGACGGAAAAATCATATGTATAACATGGGGGTAAAGTATATTCTATTCTTTATTTTCCTGCATATTTTACGTATTACTTTTTATCAGCCTACTTTTCGTCCTAGACAAAGTTTTATACATGATATACGTGATATTAGTCACTCCATAAATTCCTCACCGAGCTGGATTTCCCAAAATATATTGAGCACACATGAATAAGTACAGTAGTTTCGGTTTCCATCATTTCTCAATCATAAGGCTCAGCTCATTAAGCTGATAGATAAACTTCTGCTCAGCTTGAAATCAGAATTCATTCAGTCAATTCAGTCAACCCTAGTATACAGTCTAAGAACAGTCTCTCTTAGTGAAATATATTAAGCTTTCAGTACAATTTATATGTTCCCTACCTCGCAAAGATTATGCTGGAGTAGTACACTCTAAATCTAGAGGACTGTTCATCTATATCTTGGTATAGTTGAATCGGGAATTCCATATGGAAATTACGTATGATACGCCAGTGACCTCAATATAACCTAAAAAACAACGAATGTCAAAAATCTAGTGTTTTTCCCTAGAATTGAATAAGGATGGAACTATATAACTGTTTCATAAACACTTTAGAGTGAGAGGAGACGAGGATCTGTCCGTACCCTGTTGAGATGACTTTAACGTCAATTTCCATCAAGGGACCCTACTACTACCTACCACCAGGAGGTGTTAGTGAGTCGTGAGTGGATACCACGAGTAGACTATCATACCTTACTTAAAGTATCAGTTATACTTCGTGTTGACGTGGTGCTTACCTAATATTCAATAGACGGTATTTTGGGACTTTGTGGTAATTTAGTCATCTATACCACCACTATTATTCGTCCTGTCTTCCGCAATTCTTGATCAACAGAATATAATTCAGAACCAGTACATGACAATGTTCCCAAAATGCTTCATCTGTCGAGCGGCCGCGGTTTGTCCTCCTCACACTACTTATTGGTGAGGATGAGCTTGGAGGGGAAGAGGGATAGAGAAGTTGGCCAAGGAAGGCCGATAGGATAGATTCATTTATATCAGCCAAGACAAGTGGAATACGTTCATCACCCAAGAAAAGTGGAAGTTTGGTGAATATCTAGCTATGGTACCTCGGTTTCACCATTTCCGTACTCAGAAGTTGTGAGGGGCCTAGTTTCTGGAAAAATCTCAGGGACATCCTGTATTGAGTCACTATGGTGGAAGCTAGAATGACGGATGTAGCGTGAGCGACTGTCGGCAGGCACTTATTTCTGATAGCCAAATGTCACATACGTCAATGTCAATTAGTGTCAATGTCAAGTACATCCAAATTTGAAAATATAACCGAAATCTTCAAATATTTCAAATAATAAATATTGCATGCAGTTCTCTCTTTCAATACTCTTGAAAAATGGAAGATTTTGGAGTGATAGAAATTGGTTTCAATAGTGCTGATGAAACTATGAATTTTGGTAGTAGATGTATAGGATATGAAAATTTGTATGAAATTTCTACCATAGCTTGCTTCACATCAGATGCAAGTGTAAGTTTTCAAACTTCCTTGTGCCTTTGGTCACAGTAGTGCTTTGGTTTATTCGATTTATTTGATATTCAAGAGCACTCGTTTTTTATTTGATATTTCAGAGCACTTCCCAGGTTACTGTCAACTGCCTGGTCCAACAAAATGGTCATATCGTTTTGGCTACAGGCAATTCTTTGAAGATATTTGATGATACACAATTGACCAATCTTGTTCATTGTGTTGTTTTCAACACAAATATTGTTGATTTAGCTGTCTCACCAAATAACAGGTTCCTTTTGTTATGTTTAGATAATGGTATTGTCAATATTTTTGATGAATCAGGCAAAGAAACAACTTGTGTGTATACAAAGTAAGTTATTTCCCAAACAAATCAATTTATAGTTGTGTATGAAGAAATCAATTCTAATTTTAAGGTGTCTCACTTCTAAAATACTGGAGAATGATTTCGTAAAGGGGTTTCATGAAGAATTTGTTCCTTATGTGTCTAGTTTTGTTGTTGTCTATCACTCTGGTACCATATTCAGGTTTGTTTAATATTGTTTAATAGGTATCTTCACCCAGATCTTCACTTCACTTCACTTTCAGGTTATTTGCTGAATTTAATGATGAAGAAACATCAGATAAAACAGCAGAGGAAGTAGTATGGAATTCAGAAGAAATTTGTGATTTGAAAAGAAGAGTTACTTCAGCATCTTATAACTATCCTGTACTCCTGACAAATGGTGGGGATTTGAATATTATTAATGTTGAAGATGGTATTATTCTTGATGGAGCTTCCTTGGCCATGAAACAAGTATATCCTTTTGAAAAGTAAGATTTTTTCCCATATGATAATTGAGGTAGTGAAATGAGTCATTAAAATCTCAGCAGCACTTTCTGCCAAATTGTTACAAAACTATTGCTGGAATTTTTCAAATACATATTTCTTCAATCAAACAAAAGATTTTGGATTATAGTTGTTGAAGGAAAAATTATTAAAATATAATATTTCACCATAGAAGGCAGAAGAAAAAATATAATGGAATTTGTATCATCAGGGAAAATAGGAAAAAAATTCACTCTAATTGTATATAGCAATTTGGTCAGCATTATCAAACCTTTTTTTTTAATAAAAACATCTAAGGTTATATAAAAAAATATTTATAATTTGTACCACCATAGGGGGGGGGACCAGGAAAATTTTCAAAACTTAGTGTTCCTTGAAAAATTAATCAAATGGAACAGATAAAGAAGGAACATTTTTCACCAGCACAGGGAAAATTATAAACAGCAAGTTTATTACAATATAGCTCCTATCATTTTCAGAACTGCATGTTTGTTGATATTTTTGTCACAGGCTTATTTAGAGAGAGACATTGAAATTCATAGACTACAAAATTTATACCAGATGTGAGCCTCCAATGAATAGCTAACTTTTCATTCTTATATGACTTACATATAGGTAAAAATATTTCAAGAATGGTTCACCAAATTATTTGCACAAGATTATTATAGGTAGATTGGTACATCATTATTTGAAGTGAAAACTTCGAATTTATGCACTTGAGTATCTTGATTGATTAGCAGATATGATTCAATTTAATGCATGTCTGGTGAAACAAATCTTCTTTTATGAAGTGGAATTAAGTGATTGAAATTGATAGGAAATTCAGTGGGTATAAAATACCACTGATGAACTTTGCCAATTCAGATTTTTTGTGTAATTATAGAGATATGTAACAGTCTGTAGTTTTTTTATTTGAAGAAATACAAAGGACCCCGCACCGCATCAATGGGAAATTGGCTTTCAGTGAATTTACTCGAATTAGAACTCGTGGTGCTGATCAAATGTCTCCATTGCACCAACGCTCTAAAATCAACAGTTACCATTATATAGGGTGATAAAGTTGACTTTTGAAGAATTTTAGATAGACATTGTGAAAACACCTTTCATAATTTCAAAACCAAATCAACTGTGCATTGATTGTTCTAATGACCGATACGAATCTACTATAAAGTATAATGATTCCTGCACGTACCAACAATATACAGGGTTGGTCGGAACATAGCGAATAATTCAGTGATTTTCTGCAAAGTGTGCGGTGGAATTTCATTTAAATTCTGTTGTGTACAAATATCATCCCCATTTCGTGATATCAGCATCTGGATCCTAATCAGATATATCATATACAAGATGTTTTATTTTTGATAAATTCACATCCATGTTAGGTACTTATTATTGGCATCTTCAATATGACTTACAACTTGAACAACCTATGATGAATGTCCACTCTGCAGATCCGTGAAATATACGGAGTGGATGAAAAATCAATGGTCTTTGCTAATAACTTCTCCAGAGTATGTGCAGATTCTTTTGACCCATTTTATTGACCCTGTTTCATAACGACATTATAATCAATAAAACTAATTTGAACCATTCGATGCAGTATATTTTTAATAACATGTTAGATCCATAAATTCGAGATGTGGAAGTCCCCTTTGGTCTCGCCTTTCAATAGCGATTTCTCGCTTCATTTCATTTGGTTCTCCCTCAAGTCGTACCATATTTTGTATATTGAATGCTGAATGACACGTAAAACAATTCAATCGGCGACGATTAGCCATTTTTCAAATAATTATTACTTTGACTTCTATAAGAACTTGACAGATGCAATAGTTGCAAATGACAATGTTAAACAGATGAATAAAGTTGCTATGTGCCTGCCATATTACATTATTTGAACCAGAGCAATCTTAACATGATCAAGATGAACATGGAGTCCATCATGAGAAGAGATCACAGTAATTGAATGAAATCGAAGATTCATTCAGCATTTGTAAGAATTTATCATTCGTCCTTACTGAGTATTCTATTATTTTATATTACCATGATTTCATGATGATATGTGTGTATGTTTCCAACTGATTTATATATTCATTTGTTAAATACTGTCTGTAGGTTAATTGAGGAGGTGAAATATTCATCATTATACTGGTGAATTTTTGTTTTAGGCTCTTTGATAGTGACATCTTTGGGGCAAATCATCTGATTTGTCCTTACTACACGTATATTGAAATGATACTCATATTTTTATTTTATAGAAACGAGGTGAGAAAATCCCAAAAAATCTGGAATAATTTATATATTTATGTTTATTGAAACTAATATAGCTGCTTCTATCTTTATTGAGTACGTTATAAACTCGGCTATAAAGTCAGGTGTACTTTTCAAATATAATAACTATGCCATCCTGTTGATTTTCATACTACCTTATAAACCAACCAGATAGTATTGTTTGTTACATTAGGTATGTATTTTAGATAGTTGGGTTCATCTTTATATGTATTTTTGTATGTATGTCTGTTTGACTCAAGAGACGCCAATGTATAATTAGCCAATTTGATGTTAGAAAAGGCTATCAGAGTCAGATATATAAGCAGAAAACCTACCAGGTGAAATTGGCAGGATCTCATATGAAAGATGTATATGATATCACGATGAAAATCAATTTCAATTCAAATACGAACGCTCATGGATTTTTACGAATGAGAATTCACTCAAGCTTCCGTAATTCCAAGAAATAACAATAAATTGTGGACCGCATTCAATGCCGGAAGACATTGATGATTGTTTCACTTTCACCTGAAAAACCTTTGATACCTGCATATTATCAAAAATATACTACATCGAATGGTTCAAATTATTTTCATTGAATATAATGTCGTTATGAAACAGGGTCAATAAAATGGGCCAAAAGAATCTGCACATACTACTCTTGAGAAATTATTAGAAGACCATTGATTTTTCGTCCACTCCGTATATTTCAAGTATTTGCAGGGTGAACATTCATCATGGAATGAACGAGATTCCCAATAGGTTGTTCAAGTTGTAAGTCATAATGAGGATGCCAATAATAGTTACCTAACATGGATTTGACTTTATCAAAAATAAAACATCTTGTATATAATATGTCTGATTAGGAGATGCTAATATCACGAAATGGGGATGATATTTGTATACTACAGAATTCAAATGAGATTCCACCGCACACTTTTCCGAAAATCACTTAATTATTCGTCATGTTCCGTCCAACCCTGTATATTGTTGGCAAGTGCAGGAATCATTATACTTTATAGTAGATTCGTGTCGGTCATTCGAACAATCAATGCACAGTTGATTTGGTTTCGAAATTATGAAAGGTGTCTTCACAATTACTATCTAAAATTCTGGAAAAGTCAACTTTATCACCCTATATAATCGTAACTGTTGATTTTAGAGCGTTGGTGCAATGGAGACATTTGATCAGCACCACGAGTTCTACATTATATCAAAAATTCGAGTAAATTCACCGAAGCCAATTTCCCATTGATGCGGTGCGGGGTCCGAAATATACAAGGGTTATATTATCGATGAGGGCGCTTCCCTTGAACCCAGTGACAATTTTCTTCAACCACCTGTTTGATCGGAAGTAGACCCAACTTCTTTCTTCAAATGACACCCTGTATATTTCTGTAGACTATCTTATTTGCCTTGAAACTCTCTATTCAACCATGTATCACAATTTGATATTGGTTCATTAATTGGCTGTTAGATTGAAATTTATTGAAATACATGAAGTTGGTTGTGGCCCGAATGCAATGACATTTCGATGCTTGATAGGCTTTGAAATCCAAAGATCATTACAAAATCTGAATAATGATCTGGGCCCATAACCTGTAGTAATTCATTGATTAAATAGCAGATCAACAGTTTTGTTTGGCCAAATGAGAAAGTACATACATAAATAATGAACGTGTTGACGCTTCTGAGTATTTTATTCTGTTAAACAGCATGACACAGAGAGAGAGAGAGAGAGAGAGATAGCAATGCAGTTGGTTCAGATTAACAAACATAGATGTCGCTACATATTCTGAAATGCAAACATGGTGACTTTTGATACATTTACAACATTATTGTGTATCAATAAATGATGAAATGAGAACGAACCTTGCAAAAACTTATTGCATAAAAGTACCAAAAAATATAAACTATTCAGTCACAAGAGTCTCCCCGTTATGGAAACTTCAGGAACGAAAATATCTGAAGGGGTTTTTATTCTATGGAAAATGTACGATCCTGAATAAAAAATCATTGACATCGCGAATCTCTATCGGCCGCTCAACAATAAATGCTTCCATAGTATTTCTTTCAATTGATTAAATTACTTCGAAAAAAAAATTTGTTCGGGTATTTTTGTTCCTGAATATTCCATAACGGGGAGACTCTTGATTCATTCAGCTCGAAGCTGGGGGAACCCCAGTATTTTCTCTAAGCGCAAGCGAGCTTGCAGAAATATACACCGTGCGAACCCGTTTGTATCATGATCAAGTAATATCAAGTGTCTTGATTTCGAGTCAAGTAATACATAATATCTCAAATCAAGTCAGGTCAAATATGTAATTTGTCACGAGCTTGATTGTCAAGTCAAGTAGTTCGTTAAAATATCAATAAGCGACTTGACTTGATGAATATCTGCGCTGGATGTATAGCAAACTCCCGGAACACCGCCCTTCCACCGAATATTATTCGCTGAATGCAGTGGCCCTTGCTCACTAACAACTCCATTTCGGGCACGGGCCCTTCGGCAGATCTGCTAGGTCTAGTAGATACCGAGAATATCGGCTCACTTGCGGTTTCAAGCGTTCGGTGTCTCTGTCTCTCTTTGGCGGCACAGCCGATGAACTCAATGTAAACAACTGGAAGGGATCCTCTGTGAACGACGAGTGAGACAAAAATATTGTTCAAGCAACCCGCAGTGGTTACGGATACCTATCTCTTTCTATCTTATGTT